CCGAGCCAAGTCGTTGGCATAGTCCATACAAGCGTCCGGGCTCCAGTCATCGGACGGAAAGGCTCCGACACTGTCATGTTGTCTTCCTGGAGATAGCCGAATCCTGTTGGCATGCCTCAGTTTATTTATATCCATCATTCCAGTGTCCATGCCCGCAAAGTGAATGTCCTCCAAATGAATGATATACTCCCGTGCTTCTTCGACACTTCCTTCATCCAAAAGTGCCGTGGTATGAGTGAAACGCCGGTCGGCCGATACTTCTCCAGAGAGAACAAAGCCGTAGCATACGAGAAATCTGTAGATCAAGCTCCAGTCTGCTCGACCGATACGAGCTAGGTGTATGACATCTTGTAGGTCACCGTAAAATCTATCCGTCCACTCAATGTTTGCATTGGGATTTGGAGTCAGACCAAGTGCGAGAGTCCAACCATTCATGATAGTATAATAACCACATTCACAGTCGCTAGGCTGTTGAGACACAGGAACCCAAGTTGTGTGCGCAGGCTTATGGTTTTGCCACTGAGATGATGGAAAAACCTTTTCCAGCCACATTGACTCGAGCACAAATTTCCAGGCCCATTCGTGTATTTCTGTACGACCATCGGGCGTTATATGGTACGCTTTCGAGTCCAACACTGAAAATTCTGGCTCATTTTTGTCATCGAGCTGAATGACGAGCAACACAAAATGTTCTTCGACATGAACTGGTACAAGTAACGGCCTCCCTGGGCGCGGCGTCCGCATAGCACCTGGAACATTGTTTTTTATGAGTTCAACATGGGTTTGCGCGATAAAACCAAACCCACGTAGATAGTCTTGTTGAGCATTGGTGATCGCAATGGTGACGGAAGCAATAGCGAGTGATAATTCCTCGTCTTCCAGCCATTGTCCGAAGACAGTAGTGAGATTCTTATAATCTCGGAAAGCTTTAAGTTGAGTCTTGATCTCTTCGTTCTCCAGGATTTCGTTAAGCCTACCATGAAACTGAGCACAAGGCGATTCCTTGTCTTTGTGAGGTAATTTCTGTACTGCACGTTCTATCTGTGGTGAGAGAAATTTGGTAAACTTTCCTGCCTTGATCATCTCAGATATCCGTGTACTTCTGTCAGCCTCGCCGAAATCATCCCATGGGAAGGTTTCGGTATGCGCTAAACCTGTATCCACTGGGAATTGGTCGTAGTTAATGTTGTGACGGGCGCCAGTAGCCCGGAGTGTTCTTTCTTCGTCTATTTTCCTACGCTCATAGGAAGTCGATTTTCTGGTAGTCCTGAAACGGCGCTCCAGTGGAGGTAATTGGGTAGAGTGGATATAGCCCGCACAGAGTAGGAACGCCCAGATCAGTTTCCAGTCCGCATTTCCATTCTTCACTGCTTGAATGAGAGAGAATGTTTCCTGAAAGAAGCCTTCTCTTGGGCAGAAGTCATTGTTGATAGGCAGGCCAAGCAGTACGGCCCACGAATTCATAATGGCAAAGTATCCAGATTCCTCCGCCCGAGATTGCTGGGGTCCGTGCATCCATGTCAGAACTGATCCTACAATAGTCCTGGTTTGAGTTGTACCACGATGAGTACCAACTTCCAATCGACCAGAATCTTGCAGTAGCTCATGCAACTGGATGCGCTCTTTCGACGTGAAAGTCCACGGTGCAGAGTCCAAAACACGCGCTACAGCACTCGGGTAGTCTGCTTTGTTCTCGTGTTGTAAAACCACTAGTGTAAAATGCTCTTCTTCTCCCTCCTTCTGGTGAAGCATCAAGACTACATCGTCCAAGCATCCAGAACTCTTTCCGTCTGAATGCCTGATTACACCATTAACTTCTCCCATGGTGAAACCATGACCGGGTGGAAGTATATCGTTGATAGCTCGTCCAACAGCCTCGATACTGTCGTAGACTTCACTGGGCATTAAAGTAGGTATTGTCGCTTCCTCGAGCCCAGTCTCGACACCCTTCATGATCTTCTCTTCCTCAACAAGCTTTTGTAACTCCGTACGAAGATGGAGACAACAATCAAACTCATCAGCAACTGGTTCAGTGTCTACATACGGATTTTGTGGTAGTGGGAGTGGCGCAGCTGGCGGCGCGCGTTCTATCAAAAGTGTTCTCAGCTCTTCTACTGTATTTGTGAATGTCCATTTGCCCTCCCGAACAATGGAATCGAGATCACACCTCTCGCGCTCGCTCAGAGAGTCGGAAGCAAACTTTTGACGGTGTCGCTTACCGTGTTCGAAGCCAAAAGTGGTCGATTCCATGTCGATCTTGCCTTCAGATTTGGTATCTGAGACTGTTTGGCGAGTGATAAGATCCTGAAAGGAGCACTTGCGCAGGTCAAATTGGCGCAACCTTTCCGGAAATTTGACCTCTCCGTCTGCTCCGTTGACATCGACCGACTTAACAAATTTGGCGCACCGGCAGAAAGCGAGCAAGACCTTCCATGTCAATTCACCTTGGAGGGCTAGATCAAAAATCTGCTGGGCCTGGATGAAGAAAGACTCGTAACCGTAGAGGCTGGGGGTAAACGAAGGGTTAAGTTCGAGACCCATAGCCAGTGCCCACGCGTTCAGTACGGTATATATGAAGCTTCCATCGCTGGTGGTGATTTGCGCAGTCGGGATCCATTCAGCATCACCGGGAAGGTTGTCGATCATGTGGTTTGATGGGTCAAACATATCTTGGCACCACTTGCTGTTGAGCAGTAATTCCTTTGCACGCTGGAAAATGGAGGTTCGAATACTCAGTGTTGTTCGCCATGTCATAGGATCGAGGACTGTGAGATTGATCTGCCTGTCAGGCTGATATTGAGCAGCTAGCAGAATGTAGTTTCCGTCTATGTCGAGTGGCACCAGCAGTGTTCTTCCCGGCCCGAAATCTCGCCCCTGAAGCTGGTAACTGAACCCAGTACCATCTGATTGTCGTTGGTTCACAGCAGCAAGCACCCTAGGGATAAGTTCAGCATATCGAACAGATCGATGAGAAGACAATCGAGCTCGCACATAGAAACAATCTCCCATATCTTCTAGATTTCCTTCACCCTCTTGATCTTCAGTGCTTGCTATACTTTCTGCGGCTTCCGTACCTTCCGTGTCCCCTGCATTCCCTTCGCTTCCGGATCCTTTCCCTGATGAAAGAGCTGCGACTGGTCTCCATCGCACCGCAATATTCTCCATAGCAACATTGCCATTTCGATCTCGACGATTAAGCTCTTTTCTAGCGACCACTCTACTTGACGCTAGTTGTCTTAAACTGTCCCTAGTCCTGAAGAAAAAGACAGGCTGCGATAGTAGCTCGATTATCGCGTACCCTTCGAGTGGCCCAATGTAGAAAGGCGTGGACGGTAAGTCGTCGCTGTTAGTGTATGTAGTGCCGTTGACTGTTACTGTGATCTCGCGAGGCAGTTTAATGAAATAACCCATCAGCCCCTTAGTCTTCGAAGACGACCGTCGAACAAGATTAATATGGGCGTGCGTGTTATTAACTGTTCTACATATGGTCAGCTTGAAACGGACTAGCGGAACTTCATTATCTTACACTTCTAGTCGTTCATCTTCATTGAGGACAAAAATCTCATCGTTCTCCGACCGTGAAAGCACTACGGCAATGTTCTGGTCCTCTTCGTTGAAATTTTGCTCGAGATGAGCGAGGGTGTAACGGACGTCCTGCACCGTCGTACTCTTTCTCTTGATTTCATTGAAAAGGCTGCGCAATGACGCACTGGGACGGTTTTGGTCTGCGGCTAGCAAGTCTTTAGACTTCTTGATTTGGTAGATTGGTGTTCGGTGTTGTGGGTCTGGTAGAGGTGTCTGCTGCGGATTTATATCTTCTCGAGCTCTTTGGTACAGTGCTTGAGAATATTCGATGGCATGTACGTCTTTGTAGATAGATTTAGCCTTCTCTTTTGGTATAGCCCAGTTAACTTCAATCGCAGGCCGTTTATGATAGTGGTCATCCTCTGACTTCGTCCTTTTACTGTGTTGTCTGTGCCCCTGATCATCCTTTCCACGTTTTGGAGGCATTCTGGTGGTGTATTACTTAGTATTCGATACAATCTGTTTAGTGAACATAACAACTGTAACTTGAAACCCAAAATTCAGACGCACGATAATGTCCCACTGGATATATGCTAGAAGTGTGTTCTTTCAGGGAAGGGTCTTTGTCCGTGGAAAACAAGAAACAGATGCCGGATCTGCTGACATATTGCGTGCTATCTTGGCCAGAAGCACAAAGGAAGTCGCGCAGATCCCTTGAACCTAGTGATGTGGCAATCGGAACAAAATCATGACAACATCAGACGATCATGAGCAGCAGCAAGGTCGCTAGGGATATATGTCAGGCTACGAACCAGAAGAAGCTAGTGGAGATTTTGATCAATTTGAGCAATTTCGTCAGCATGATGCTCGTCATCAACAGAGGTCGTTATGAAAGATCCTCGCGCATGGCGTAACTACTCTCATCGGTCGTTTCGATATGCTCGTGAGTTTCGTAATTGCAGACTGTAGTTTGGTGAATGGTTCGATGAACATAGATTTACCGGCGTGAAAGGTCATACGAACGGCTATGCACAAAGAAAGGAGTTGATAGATGGACTGCCTTTTCTATTGAATGCATACATGAATGAAAAGACTTTCTTTCATGAATTTCATGACCCTGGGCGAGAAATTCGCAAGGACTAATACATGTCGAGAGTGGGATCTGACGATGAATCTGCTGTATAACTATTCCGCACGATGCAGTGATGCGGTGTGTACCTCCTCCGGGTGATTGACTCGCCACAGGACTCTTCCAAAAGCATACGCACGTCGAGATTGAAGACGCATGTCGAGCTGATGATGCATAATGATGCATAATGATGCATAATGATGCCTTGCTTGTGTCGTCGGTAACAAGCTCCGCGACTCGGCTCTCACAGTTCAGCCTACTTTTGGTACGGCTGCTGTGGTCCAGCAGACAGATTTCCGATGAGCTTCACGCTTATGTCCAAGAGCTGTCTTCTCTTCTCTTCTCTTCATATTGTCGCGTTGTGTTGGGAATATCGATCCATGGCGCTGAAAACCGTTGCGTCGTTGACATAGCAACGACGATCAGATGCGTGACACCCTAGATCGGCCTCCAACCCAGGGCCGACGCCAACCCGCATCGTGCGGATGATATTCGCAGCGTCAACGCATGACGAGCTGTTATAGTAAGACACCGGCTCTGCAGTGTAGTTGCCATCGCTCGAGTAAGCCCACGCATTGCCGTATGGCTGGTCATAAGGGTAGTCGTACTGAACATGCTCTGACTTGATTTGGGCAGCTGATGGAGTCATGGGCGTAGTGTAGAGCGTTGCTGGATACGATGCCGGTGGTGGTGTACTCATGGTTGATACCATGGATCCGGGGCTAGGTGAGTCGTTGTAGCTGAGTGCTGTTGGCCGCGTAGGTGGGATTGTAACGGGTGGCACTGGTGGTTTTTGCCGAGGTATCGAGGCAGCCCTTGTATATGAGGGTATAGGCGAGCTTGTAGAAGATACTACGTTGGTGTTGACCCTTCGTTCAAGCATCGCATGCAATCTGGAAGCCGCAGTATCATGCTCGTATCGTCGATCAGACATGTCCTCTAATGCTGCCAAAATCTCGGACTCTGATACTCCTCTTCCATGGAGCAGCGAGCGGAGTTTCTGATTCTCATGCAACACTCTCCTGGCAGCAGTCTGGATTTCTGAAGAGGCCTCGATGCCTATCTGCTCATAGCTGCGCAACTTTGCCTCCAGCTCGTGCATGTACTCTTTGCGTCGAGCGCGTGATCGGCCTAAAAGATCATGATTAGCGAAAACTGTCAGTGATCGAACGTTCAAGCAACATCTGGCTGGGTGTATTATACAAAGTACCACCACTCTTCGTGCTTGAAAAGGAAGATGGTGGGAACAGTGGCTGCTATTGGCCGGAGGTACTCACGCTGGTTATCTCTAATCCGAGCAAGATTCTGTGCTTTCTGTTGACAGTCGTTAGTTGGGCCTCCATGGGGTGACAGATATCTACGTACGGATACTCTGCTGTCACTCATGGTGATGTTTGTTACGAAGCAGATCGGTAGAGAAGAGCTTGGTATTGGATGGGTTGGAAAGATGGGTGTTCAGTTGCGTGATCATCCTGGGTAGTATAACTTCAAACAGATGGCATCCCGTAGTCTTAAAGAAGAAGGCAGAGCCATAGGGTCGAGCAAGCCACTTGTACCCAAGCGCGCTGCAGGCCTCATCCTGGATAGCCCGCGTCTGCACGGTAAGGATGTAAGTGGGAGTATGCTTCGCCTCTGCGACCAGGGCTACAAGCGTGGGTGTCAAGCGGACGGGCCCAGAGGCGTGATGGTAGACCGGGATAGCGCGTAATGTTACGAAAACGCGGGTGATCCTGTCTGTCCTTTCGGTGACCGAGACTAAATTTAATGCGGCCTAGCGCAGCACACTAGTCAAATCCTCTGAGCTCGGTGTCTCTGCCCTTTTCAGCTTCAGCCTCGGAAATTGGGGGCTGGAGGAGTTTTGCAGCTGTCTCGCAACACCACGTCGCATCATCGCCATCGCAGAATACTACGCGTCGTCTTTCGCGCATTACCCACGAACCAGTTTCTACGACGTCGGAACGTGCCGAGAGCCTGGCAACCCGATCTGGTGGCACTCGACAAGGATCCTATCTAACAGCCTCGACATGGCGATTGGCCGACGAATAACGGCACCTTACGCCGGCCTTTTCGATCCCACGCGGTTTGTAACGTCGTGGATTCTCCCACCAGGCGCCCTCTTCGCAATACGCGCGCTATTGGCCCTATACGCCTTCACCACCCTCTTTTTCATCTTCGGCTGGAACGGTACCCATGGCAGGTCCGAGGCGTCGCAGCAATCTTTCTCCTTCTTTACGGTGCTGACGTATTGGGGCCTCGCCTTCTATTATGCCTTTGCTGCTGTGCATACTGGCAGTTACTGGTTTACTGGGACTCCATTCTTAGCCCGGTGGCCCAAAGCGCTACAGGTGGCGCACAGCATGTTTTATTCTACCATTGTTGTGTACCCGTGGATAGTAACCAGTAAGTCAACTTAGCTAATCGGCTTTGCTATCAATGTGCAGAGGAACTCGGCGATACCACGTTCGGTGTCTTTTCATGTCTTTCTATCGCGGTCTTCGCCATAGACCCTTTGGGCACATGAATGCTAACTCATGATAGTCGTTTACTGGACGCTTCTTGCGGGGCAATTCCCTACAACCTTCGCCCTTTGGTCAAACACTTCACAGCATGCCCTCAATTCAGCGTATGCGCTTTTTGAGATAGTGTTTCCCCGGACGGAGCGACTTCCATGGCTGGATCTAATCCCAATCATCATCCTGCTGGCCCTATATCTTGCCTTGGCCTACGTCACACATGCCACTCAAGGTTTTTACGTGTATCCTTTCCTTGATCTTCAAAAGAACTCTTCTGGTATAGTTGGAGCTTACATAGTGGGTATCCTAGTCGCCGCGATTATCATATTCCTCATAGTGAGGTATATTATCGCACTGCGAGTTTGGGTAACGGAGAAGAAGCTTAGGATGACCGGGAAGACCTCAACACTTCACAAAGGGGCTGTCGCTGACGAGTATCCTTTACACAGTGCCATTCCAAAATAGTGGAGAGGTTTCCGATGTTTTGCGTTTTGGTCCCTTGACCTTTATATCCCTGTATGCCTATCCACGTTTAATAAGTTTTAAAATAAGTTTCGAAGATTTCTTCACGTCGTCCACTCGGCTGCCCTCAATTTCCACCGACTGTGCTGTTCCCTAACATTTCAAGCTACTAGTTAAGCATGACATGGTCACCATGTTGGCGTGAGTTTGTGTGGCTCATCAGTCGTATCCCTATCTTCACACATATAACTCATACACTTACTGGTATTTGCTTCTTTCTCGTTCTGCACACACATCACCCAGCAACTACCGTCATTCTGGTGTCATGCCGTTCACTATCATCAGGCACAGGTAGGCTCCGATCATGGGCTAGGACTGAATCACCAGGTTTAATAACATAGGATTTACTAGGGTTATCGGCGAACACTGTAGGGTGTGGCTTAGATTGCCTGCATCACCCCACGCTCAGCTCTTTGGAATCGGTGCGGGCAAATTGCTTTTGCGAGGCTTCGAAGCAACCACCTCGCCTTGGTTCTGGATTTGAATCTGCTACATCCTCGTGTCTATCGAATGTTGGACAATTGGTCGCAGCGGTTCCACGGAGCCGTAAAACTGAGAGATACCCCCACCTCCATGCGTCGCGTCGATCATATGGCTGAAGGTCAGTCGCCCATGCGACTTAGTTGCGCATTGTCCTGCGTCCACAACCAATAGGACGTCCACGCAAGCAAGTGGTAACCAATCAACCTCACACGTGAGCATTCGTCACCCAATTAGCAGCGACACGTGAGAGTGAAGATCAAAGACTGGTAGACAATGCATCGGCATCGAACATCAGTCACCTCTATAGCTACAGAACGTCAGCACGAGCTTCTAGAAGTACCCTACTTCCGTCTACATGCAGTATTTAGCGCCCAGACTTTCCATATATCTCGCGTCAGATTGATACTGATTGGCCGCGCAGAATTTTTTTGGCTCTAATAAAGTCGCATTTGCTAGCACTTCATCCTTCGGGGCCGCCCGGTCAGGGGAGATGTGCTGCGTTACATCAGCCCCCGGCACTTTTCGACCCTTTCCAAGAGGCTACATGCAGGATCCTTCCCACTTCTGCATGCCAAAGAGAGGTAAGAGCATGTGCTATGTGCTAACTGAAAACGCAATTGTAAATCTCTGGAAGGTGTCTGGTCTAGTTTTACTTGACAGGGTCTGATCTGCCGCTACCACCCAGTGTTCCTCGCACCATCAGTGCCGTGTCATCTGAACGCTAGGGCTCATGGCTATAGGGCTCTTGGGCAGCATCAACATGATTGCTTTTTCACGTTTGTCCCAAGCTCCCGGAAGACATTTCGAACCTCAGCTGCACCAGCGGTCGACGTCAACTCCGGTGCTGCAACGCCCATTGGCTGCAGATGGCATACTACGACAAACCCACATGTGCGTCGCACTACCTAGGTACTTAATTGCCGGAGACCTACCTAGGCAATCACATGCGTGCTCATTGAAGTGCGCGTGAACATTCAATACACGTAAATTTCAATTCTCCCGCTCCGGACCCGGAAAGCGGTGTCTCTGCGGTATGTCGGGACTGCCCGGAGTTCTATCCTTCTGGTAGAAGGGCAACAGTTGGTTGCACGGACCCGTTCTCACCAAACGAACCCTGGAATCCAACCTGATGGAGACGGGATAACCCCTAGCTTCCTCCAGTAGTCGAACTTGACGCTGATCATCCCCAGTCCACGAACGTATTTGTTCCGAGAGTTATACCCGTTACACTGTGACCGCGATGGAGGCGGACCTCGGATGGCACTGCGGTAATAACGTCGTCGTAACCATGCGGTGATCATCGATGGCTTGCAGCTCATCACTAGGATTAGGACTCCCATGTTTCGAATGCGATTCAAGTTGGCAGGTGCTTTATTGTTCAGGCAAGCGCGGGTCGTGTGCCTTCGTTTCCAGTCCTTGATGGCCGTCAAGGCTAACGGCACCTTCTTAGTCAGGGCTGTGCGATGGGCATGCCCTAGAAACACACGTGTAAAGATCTTTCAGGCTTCATTTGCTGATGGCTCTGTAAGGTCTCATGTCCCACCACAGTCCACACATGTTCACCCGTCAGGCCTACCTGTTATCTCTGACCCCGCGTCCAGCTAATATAGTCCCCTGGAAAGGATTTTAGCCCGTGTCTCATCCATCGCTTTCTATGCCGCTGTCATCAAACCTCCCGCTCCCAGGCAAGATGCCGTTAGTTTCCGGCTACAGACAGCATGTGAAGCTTGGAGTCTCGCAGATTGTGGAGAGACTCGGAAGCACCGATGATGAGAAGCAAGGGTAAGGGCCAAACCGTCAATTACGTCGTTCATTCCAACATCGTCCCGTCCTCCAGATACTTCATACTTCCCGAAGGACCCATGTGTCAAAACACCCCTGCAAAAGTACGTTGCAACAGTTGCATTGACGTGGCTTGCGCAATAGCATACTAACCAACAAACAGCGCATCAGTGCAAAACGTCCCTGCGCTGCGCTTGCGCATACTGTAAGTGACAGTATGACGCTGCGCATTGTTTGAAGGATGGCTCGTTCCTGGGCTACGACCGCAAGAGTATGAAGTCCTGCATGTGTGTGCATGTAAAGTTCGCGTTAGCGCCTGTCAATGCTAGAGGCTGCACAGGGACGGCCTGCGCGTGGGGGCCCACCGATGATGGAGGTATCATATGGTGAGTGGCTCACAGTCGGACGCGGTAAACGACGATGATGGCCATTGCTGGATTTGCGCGAAGGCGGTGCACGTGCTAGGAGGTGACTGTCCAGATATCTACGAACGAGCAGCTGAGCTTTGTTGCATGGAAGCTGCAATGCTACAAAAGCCTCTGTTGCGGCGATAATGATACCTAGGAACCACAACAACAGTAACAAAGCCTCGAGTGTCTAACTGGGAAAGCAACCTCGTACCGAGTTCTCTGCAACCGGAGTTGAAGCCTCGAACGGCCACCCGAAAAGGTAAAGTTGCCGAGGTAACTTGTGAACACCTACACCCTCCATCTCAGGAACACCTCGTACTCTCAACAGCAACCACTGCACACAGAATAAGCTTTGCCCTCCCAGAAACTCTCTCGGGGTAGCAAGGCGACGGAACCATGATCGAAGTCATCTACATCGTGCGGCACGCGGTACGTACAAAGCTCGACCTCCGTCGCCGCGCTTCATGCCCTCCGATGCTTCCACACGATAGTCGAGGAAAGCCTTCCGTATCGGGAAGCTACCCTGACAGCCATCTCCGTCCTCGCATTACCTCCATACACATCTCGCTTGTGTACACCTCCGCGTGTATCACATGAAACGCCATCCTTTACACTCTCCACATGCAGATCCCTTGTTCCCCAAAATGGCATCCGTTCTAACGTATCCCCCGTAATATCTAGTTCCGCGCCAACTGGTCCGTTGACCCCCAAACGGGTATCTACACCGCCTCTATGGCAAGGACTCCGACCGGGATACCCACTGATCCGCCTCTGACGTCCAAAGGTGTGGACCAGAGCAAGGAGTTGGCCGAGTTTCTGAGTAAGATCGAACCCCCGGTTGAGAGAATCTACTCAAGCCCTTTCTATCGCTGTTTGCAGACTCTTAAGCCATTCAGCGATAAGCTGTTTGAGGAGGGAAAGGCAAAGGGGAGGATCAGGATTGATCGTGGCATTGGGTACGTTGAGGCTGAGTAATGCTCATGTATGCGATATGCTGATGCGTGGATAACAGAGAGTTTTTTGGGCGCGCACACTTTGAACACCCTAATCCACCGCATCTCGAGCTTCTGACTCCTCATTTCCGGAACTTAGACGACCAATATGCGTCTGTACACATGCCGGGATCCAACGGCGAGTTGATCGTGGAGCTACACGAACGTGTTAGGAACGCACTAGATCACATCGTCACCACACTGGATAACGACCCCGAGCAGCCGAAGACCGTCTTGTTATGCACCCACGCTGCGACTATGATAGCAGCCGGCCGGGTGCTCACGGGAAAAATGCCGGAGAACCCCGACGAAGATGACTTCCAGTGCTTCACGGCCGGGCTGTCCAAGTATGTGAGGAGATCAGCGGACCCCATGAAAGGCGTTGCTGGAAACTGGGAATGCGAAATGAACTCCGAGACGTCTTACCTCTCGGGCGGAGCAGAGAGAGGCTGGTAAGTGTAGTTTCCATTCTTTGTGTCCATGTCGTGCTGCGTCCTTATAGCTTCCAGGTTCTTCCCGTACCATAGGAAAGACTGGCCAAAATCAGAGCCTACAGCTTATGGCTGGGGCGTCGCATCGGCTCATCTTAAGATTTCTTTACCTCCTTCTCGCACAGACAAGCATCTCCTAGCAACCCCATAACCTTTCGTCACGGCAAGTGGCTAACGAACGATGATGACAGGCACTTCAGTGGCGAAGAGAGTTTTGTAGACTTCTCGGATAGCGGTACAAAAGGTGAGGAAAGCTCGAAGTTGTGAAAAGTAGAGGCAGTCTCACTTGCAAGAGATGGGATATGATGTTTGTCTGTTCGCTTGCCAAATGATGAAACTACGGCAGCTGTTCTTGCATTCACGGAGGTTTTGGTTTCCGCATCAGGCTACGAAGATACCCAGAAATACCCTCTCTTTCTCGAAATCAATTCTATTTCAGTGATCGTCGTTTGCCTTGCCCGAGTGACTGACGTCTGATGATGAGCACTACATGCGGCTCTGCTCCACTTGCCCTGTCCCCATCCCCAGTTCTCGGAATCACCCGTTCCCGTCCACCGGGTACCGATGGTGATTTACCGGCCTGTGCCTGGTCCACTATTCCTACTGTGCGTTTTCCAGACCCATTGTTGAGTTTGCGCAACGGCGTGGCGAGCACGTGGGATGTTTTGGACCCAGATGTGAGTTCGCCGCGCGGTAAAAAGCTGTGGGAGCGGGGTGCATTACACCGAACCGAGAGCAACCCTGAACAAACAGAAACGGTAAGAGCAAGTTACGCACTGATCTGGGGTGCAGATGAATGGGGACTGATAGATTGGTAGTTTTTTTACTTTAGAGAGAGACTTGAGATGATGTGAAGGCGTCGAGGTAACAGTGTGTCAAAAGCCAGAAGCTGCAAGCGAGATTTAGAGACAAGAAATATGCGACAGCACTACCTTTACTGCGATGCTACCGATTAACAGGACAAAACAGCTCCGGCCTGTGGACGAGGGTAAATTTGGTCGCACCAAAACTCCATTGCCTTCACACGGGGCATCAAACTTCTTCTTTCGAATTCTCAGCCTCGCTATCGTCCTGCAAGTATCGATATCTTGTCACCTAATTGGCGCATTGTCCTATTTTCTAGTATCTTTACCTTCCTAAGACAACAGCTGCGTGCTGTCATCTGACCCGTCTCTTACGACCTACGCGACCGTTACCTTTGGGTATCAGCAAAACTATTACTAAATGTCGCACTACAAAATTCATAACATCGTCCTCCTCAACAGACATCAATCTTTATAAACCCCTGGAGCTCTCACAGCCCTCTACTCACGCCTCTTCAACATATCTCCCTCACTCGTCCTAGGAACGTTTTACCTCGCATCGAAACTCATCGGAGGCGGCCACACGAACTCGGATACATAGTACATGGCTCTTGAATACCAAGATGTTTGGGCCAACTGCATCAACGTACACTTGTAACCCAACCTCAAAAGTAACCCGAATGAAGAGAAGCTAGAGCTGACACTACTGGCCGGGGAAGTCAACAAGATATGGAACAAGTACGGAAGGCTGAAGATGGGCGGATTTCGTTTCTGACGACGGTTCGACAGCAGGTGATATGAGGAGATCGCGAACTGAGCCAATGTAAATGCACCAGGTACGATGCAGAATGCGAGGTCGCTATATAATGATTTTGTCACCTGGGGTGTGGCTGCATATGTGGCTGTTGACAACGTACGAGAGCAATCCGGTAGCGGTTCACACATGGGCTGGAACGGGGCTGGAGGCAATGCAGGGTGCCGTTGGGGAAATCGAGAATCGCAGAGATGTGTGGACGGTTGGAGGCCGCTTGGGATAGAACATTGATCTGCGGCTAAAAGCTGAGCACAATCAATCCGGACCGTAACACCTCAGGTATCTTTGACCAGAGCTGTCCTCTATTCTGCCTCCCCTGGTCGAGATCAAGCGAATCTTCGATATTGTTTCTCAAACGGTATTGCCCCCCGGCTTTGTGCCTTTATCCTTTTCCTCTTCATCAATGTGCATGCTCTCTGCAAACCCAACCCACTCACTCATCCCCCTAATGAATGCATCCCCACTTCCATCGACCTCACCTCCATGTCCCCATACAATGACTTGGTCAAACTCTCCTACTTGCTCCGCAATGTTGACTTCGACAGGTATGCTCTCTTCCGTCTCGGCGTCTTCATCGTCCTCGTCTGCAGGCGGTTGTTGTGGCTGTGTTTGACTTTGAGGTAATTGCTGGTCGGTAACGCGTAGAATGGCGCCGGTGTAGTTGTTGGGAAGTGGAAGCGCAGTGCCATGGAGGTGTCGACCACGGAAATATGAGTGTCGCTTTCCTGGAAATATGTCAGAATCAATGTCCATGTTGTTGTACGACGATGATCAATAACCTTTGTCATCTGTCTCAGGCTTCCAGTATCGTTCTGCATCGTTTATAGGTCCGTTGTGGTTTATCCGCGCAGGGAGCAGGTTTGGTATGCATCTTTGAGGGTTGGAGGGCCGAATTGACAGCATGTTTGTCAGATATTAAAATCGAAAGTAAGTGATGTATCGACTGAAACACAGATTACAAAAATGAACCTTGGGCTGATGCGTAGTTGAAAATGTTTGGGTTGATGTATAGGTACAAGCATATGGACGTGATTTACGGAATACGCGTCGACGCGCCGTAGCGTGTCTCCGCGGACGCACGGGCGTTTTCCTGATAGGGTGTTCACGAGCTCAAGATGACGACGAAAGTACGAGCAAGTACATGGTCTTGGCTTGGCTATAACCAACTTCATATCCGTCTCTCCTCTTTTGCTCATTTTCATTCATTACCATAGTACACCTGTCGCAAAGTCCACGCCATCCATTCCGTTCTTTCTGGCACAGTCCGGAGGCCGCGGCCGCCGCTACAGCATCGCCGATCGGAGAGATGCTGCATGCCATGCTTACACCCGCAGTACCTCTTCATGCCACATGGAAAGCTCAAGGATATATACGAACTGCTGTCACCGACCTTCTGGACTCAACATAGACACGGGACTGCAAGGCTGAGACGCACAGTGAGTTGTGCCCCTGCATAACTTGCCCCTCCCAAACATGCCGCCAAATGATTTTGTGGACCCTGGAATGCGGCTCATCGTCACTTCCAAACTTCCTGTCCAAACATCGCATGGGAACAGACACTAGAAGCTACAGGAGGAGAAAAATACGCATATCCGAACTTCTTACATGCCTTTGCACGGCCTCAACCTCCGCCGACGTGTAAGAGTTACACTGATTTTGCGACATTCGCGATGTTTAGGCGGATCGACGGCGTCATAGATCACTCGAATTGGCAAGGCTTCCTCGCCCGATACTGCACCTCAGACAGAATGCAACACGCATGGCTTTGAAACGGCGCAACCAGATGCACCGTGTCGGCTTTCGGCCGTTCCGGCGATAGGACGGCGAGCTACCTGGACTTCTGAAATAGACTCTGGTGCCATGTGTTAGCCGACTAGCTACCGTCGTTCGACTTCTTTCTCAGCTCTTCTTCCGACGCGTTCACGATACCATTGTCGCATTACTTTTGGGCGATTGACGCGCTAATTCCCCTCCACGACCGCCCGCACACCGTACAGCCACCTATCTTACAAAGAAGCTCGGGCAGATCGAGACGTACTAGCAGATTTGTCTCGCTACTCGCACTGAAGCCGCGCGCCTTTTGCTTTGAAATTGGACAGCTTCGTAGCCTAAACGTCTTTCAATTGATCATTTGGGTTTGCGCCAGCCGGAAAACCTCGATTTCAAAAGGCATACATCGGGATTATGGCGATTTATAGTTCTGTGACAGGAGCGGTGTCTTCATTGCTCAGTCCAGTTACATCACAAGCTTGGGGGCCACTGGTGACTCTATGCAAAAATGGCACACTTTCCCAATTCCAGAATCTAAAGCATGGCAAGCTGGTACTATTTGAAGGTGGTTCGAGCAAGGCGACCGCTGCGTTTGGTTCTGACAAAGAGGGCCTTCCAATTGCATTCCTAAACGTGCTCGACGAGAAGTTCTGGGTGCGATTGGCGCTTTTTGCAGACATGGTACGCTCCGGCATACTCGTGCGATCGGAAAGAACAAGAGCTGATTGATTTTAGGGCTTTGCAGAGAGTTACATGTTGGGAGAGTTCACAACACCGGACTTGACCAAGTTCTTCGAGGTGAGTTGCCACATTTGGTAACCGTTAAGATGCGCTTTTCAGCTTACATTCGCAGCTCTTCATCCTGAACCGCAACTATCTTTCCAATGGTTCAACTTTCACCTCTGCCATCTCTTCTGGTCTCGCTGGCCTGGTAAGAGGCAGCAACAATCTCAAGAACGCGCGCCTCAATATTTCCGCACATTACGACATCTCCAACGAAATGTTCGCTGCCTTCCTCTCCCAAGACATGACGTACTCGTGCCCGATATGGCTACCGAAATCGGACCCGAAATGTGCGAGCGAAAGCCTCTACGATGCGCAAATGCGAAAACTCGATCGCTTCATCGACAGCACACACATCAAGGGCACAGATCACGTTCTGGAGATTGGTACTGGCTGGGGAAGCTTCGCCATGCGCGCCGTACAACGGACAGGTTGCAGAGTCACATCATTGACCCTCTCGATTGAGCAAAAAGAGCTGGCAGAAGAGCGAATACGAGAAGCGGGCATGTCAGACAAGATACAAGTCCTCCTATGCGATTACCGAAGTTTGGAAGTACCAGAGACAGGGCCTTTTGACAAGGCCGTCTCAATTGAGATGTTGGAGGCTGTGGGCAAAGAATATTTGGTGACATACTTCAAGTGCATCGACAAGCTGCTCAAGAAGGAGGGTGGCGTAGCATGCTTCCAATGCATAACCATGCCCGATGCTCGCTACGAAGCCTATGCCAAATCTGACGACTTTATCCGCCGATACATTTTCCCTGGAGGTCATCTTCCCGCCGTCTCCGAACTCGTTGCTAGCATACAAACCGCATCAGGTGGATCGCTTGTCGTCGACAGCATAGAGAACATCGGGCCCCACTACGCGAAAGCGCTGCGATTATGGCGTGAAGAGTTTTTGGATAACTGGGAAGGCAAGATCAAACCACAACTTATTAAAGAGAAGAGCCAGGAGGGTATGGACGATGAGGGTGCGGAGGTTTTCAAGAGGAAGTGGGATTACTACTTCAGGTACTCAGAAGCAGGATTTTCGACAAAGACGCTGGGAGATGTTATCATCACGGTCGGAAGGGAAGGCGCCATACAGATGATGGAAGATGTACCGCTGTAAATATTGTGCTTGTTAATCTTGTTGGATATGGTTTATACCCCTCTCCATCCTTCGACTGAGCGTTACCGCTTTTCAATATTGAATATTTGTCCTTACAACGTGCATGAGTAGCTCTTTACATGTATACGCGCACGAAGGAATTCCATGTTCATCTTCTTCCATAGCCTTCGTCAAACTGTGGTAATGCTGCTTGATACTCCATCGCTAGCATGCTCGAATCCAGGCTCTGAATCACTTCTTGGACATGGTGCGAAGCTTGCCGGTTATGCGTAGCAAAATAGTGTCCCATACCATCGATATCTTTCACTTGCATGAAGCTTGTCGGCCGGATACGGTGTTCGGTGCCAGCGCTATCAGGTGGTGAAACTGGATATACCTGCCCTGAATTGGGTATGGTCGTAGGCTGATACGCCTTGTATACCGACAATGGTGCTGGTGTAAGAGGTGGTGATGCAGGCAGACTGTTCGGTGCCTGTGCGAAGGAAGGAGGCGGGTATTGTCTTGAATATCTCGATGCGTTCGTTTGTGTCGTTGGGTAGGTAGAAGGCGTGTTATGTGGTGGTGTAGATGGCAGTTGGGGAGACGCATTGCCAACCATCAAGCTTGCTGGAAGTGTGCTTAATGAAGCGGACTGTGTACGAGGAACGGGCGGCCTATACGAGTCGTGTGACTGTGGTAGCGCGGGTTGTGGAGACGTGCGAGGATGGTGGCTGACTTGCAGCGCAGCATCGATGTCTGCGGAGAGCTCTGCAAGGATATCATGTGGCGGTGGTGTCGCGTCGAGTTCGAAGATTGGAGGAGAATTTTGAGATAATGTGGTAGCTTCACTGGCGGTTGGTGGTGGGCTTGGGTGATTCTGCGGTGCTTGGTAGACTCCTTGGGGTCCTACAACATGTAGGTTATACGCCTCCTCTTTTGCCTCTGCATCATACCGTGTGCGTGATATAGTCTCGCCAGCAGAGTTGACTACTTGAAGTCTGCTCAGTCGCTGCTCTGGTACAGATGTTCCAAAGCCCTCTGGAGAGCTTTTTTCAGGGATCCGATGCGTAGTCCTAATATCAAGGAGCGGTGAACGAGCGCTGGACGTGTTCTTTGCTGGCACTTGCGCTACACATGGTCCTGGGACGCCAGGGTGGGCGTTTGGTGTTGAATAAGAAGCTGCACGCTCGTGGAGGGAAAGTGACGGAGCCGGCTCGGATGAAGGCTTCAAGTTCGAGAACTGCATTTGTGGATTGGATCCAGATTGAGGATCTGTGGGACTAGTACGTCTGCTGCTTGGGGCACTGGACATACGGTATCTGGAACGTGAATCCCTTGTATAAGCCGCTGCATTTGAGGAAGGTCCTGTGTGTTCCATGAGCGTCGAGGTCGCATGTTCCGCACGCGGGTGAGATGTTTTGATCTTCTGAGACTCTGGTGGACATAAGAAATCTGGTAACGATGCGCGGGAAATCCCTTGAACTCTTGGTAGCTCAGATGCGGACCGCGACCGGATGTGATTTCCTTCCGCTGTCGGTGGGGCCAGCGTGGTGGCTGAAGGAGGTTCCCGACCTGTCAACGTACGATAGCATCTTCGCTGTTCTTCGAAAGGAAGCCGGCTGACGAAAGCCGTTCGTAGAAACTTCCGTTCTATGAAATCTGGGTTCAAAAGACTGCGAATCGACTGTAGTTGATCTCCGTAGTGCTGGCACAAGAAGTGAATATCCTTCCGTGGTTCCCAAGCTAAGCCGCGAATCTGGCAAAAGTGAAGTAGGGTCCTGACGAGGTATAGCATGTTCAATCCGTAGAATGTCCTCAACACCCCATCGGTCCTAAGGCTCAGCAAGACGACGTTTTTGGCAAGGGTTCCGTTCGATGGAGTCTCGTATGAGCCTATGCACCGTTAGCCGGAGGTCAAAACAGGTTCGTGTACAACTGACCAGAGGGCACTAGGGTTACTTCTATTGTCGCTGGACCTTTACATCCTGCATCTAAAAAGCTAGGCCCAGTTTGTACCACCATCTTGGAAGGGAACAAAGGGTTCATGCCCTCAGGCAGTCGTATCCTGACGCTGTTAGCCAGTCGCCATTTGGAGAAAGTAGGCTCCTCTGTTATACCGTCGGTCGGACTCAAGCTTCTTCTTGATCCGGTTGTAGTCTTTATCGTCGTATGCAATGAATACATCCCGCATCTCGCATCCATGTCCTAGACAAAGCATCGCAAGCTCGCCCATGATGGCATAAGTGAACTTCTTGTTCTC